GGCGAGGATGTGTGTGGAGCTGGAAGTGAGGCTGCTTATTGCTGAGAGCGTTAGTGTTTTCCGACCCGTTCTGCATCCTGGAGCATTTGGCTTTGGTTTTGTCATTGACTCCTGCTGACATCAGGCTGTGTGCTTGAAGGGCATCAGGAGATGGCATGTAGGAAGCTGGGTGGATCTGGGAAAGTGGCACTCACCATGTCATGTGATACTCAATTAGCTGGTGACAAGCATGGCAGGCGGGCTCAGGCTTTATCCTCTGTAGAGCCAAAGCTCACAGCAGCAACCTGACCTCCAGAGGCTCCTTTCCTTCCTGCTGTTTCCCCTTCCCCCTAAGTCACTTTTGGGCATTGAGTATCATATGGTCACTATTGTCTGAGGGGTACAGTGGGCACAGGGACAGTCTGGCACATCTGAACTCAGCCTCCACCATCCCACAGGGTAGACTGAAAGCTGGGGTGTGAATGTCGGTTGTTCTTCCATCCTGGACAAGAAGGCGCCAGAGTAACACTGCCCCACTCTGCTCTGAGGAAGTTTTCATACAGCTGGTCTTAATGCCACTCAGGGTGTGAGGTCCTGGACAGTGTCTCCCTCACCTGACCGAAAGAAACCTGCAAGAGCGAATCCAGCCTTGCATCTACTTCTGTGTATAACTGTGACAGCCACGATGGGGACATAGAGCCTGTCCTACCAGACAAACTAAGTACTCCAGTGATCCCATCATCCTTGTGTGAGATCATGTGCTCCAACAAATAATCACAATGCAAGCTCAGGGAAAGTGACTTGGAAATTTCCAGGAGGGTAAAATGAGTTGACAATGCCCATTATTCAAGGATGCAAATCTTGCTGTGTATGCAATGGCTCTTCTAAATCAGCCATGTCTAATCACATATCAGGAAAACCCTCTAAGACCTCTCAACCAGCCCAGTCCCTCAAATCTCTCTTAACCACCCCCCCTTAACTAAGCCTGAGGCCTTGCCTCCCTCCCTGAAGAACCCAGAAGGACTACTGCCTGGAGCAGCTCTCTCTGAGGCTCACTCTTGCCTTCACGGTCACTGTGTGACAGCTCCTATCACTAGCTTGGTTTGCATTGCTTTCTGTTCTTTTGTGCAGTATTTTTTATTCTGTGAACATCCCATACCTGTATGGGATGTATGTGAATCATGGCCATCCACCCTTACCTCCCTTTGGCTCCCTTTGGTGCTCCAATCCTCCCTGGTTTTCGGCCTCATGTCTTCTCTTCATTTTACTAATAACTCCCTGAGACCAGGTAGTACCATCCATTTGTACATTGACTGTGTGCCATCCAGTGCAGCATAAGCAGTCTACTAGCAGCCACATCCCCAAAGGAGAATGACTCTCCTTTCCCTCCTCTCTCAACAGACTTTAACTTGCCAACAGCTCCTCCAACAAGGGTGGGGTCTTGGAGGCCCCTTCGCTGTTCATACTGGGATTTTTTTGTCTGGCTTAATCTTGTGCATGTCTCGGGTGGGTAACAATAGCTACTAAGAGTGGATTGTGCAGCAGCCACGCAATAGCCAGAAGTCAGCATCTCATGGCTTTCCTCCCCGTCTTACGTTCTTTCTATCCTCTCTCCTGTGGAAGTCCCTGAGCCTGTGATGGTGGGAGTTTGGTGCTGATGCCCCACCCACAGCTGAGCACTCAGAGTTATCTAGATCCTGCACTTTGACCAGTTCTGAGCAGCCCAACTTTCTTGAGCCAGGGTGATGTAGTGCCCATGGTGCCAACACAGGATCTTCTGTGGCCACTGTGTTAGCTGAAACCCTAAGAAAATCCCTTTCTGCTAATACATCTTCATTCTCTGGGGCCCACATCCGTTGGTTTTGCTTTCTCTCTGCAAATCTCCTCATTAGAAGAAAAGAGAAGAAAAGAGAGGATAATTGGCAGCCTCAAGCCAAACAATGCCTTGCAATGTTGAGTAACTCTATTTGGTGGTGGTGTGTTCATTTGCTTCTGGCTCTGGAAGTCTATAAGGAATATCTAGTAGCCTGGGAAGGCGATATGCTTCCAGCTTCAGGGTTCTCTCTCAAGAGCCCTGTCCAGCCAGAACTTCCCTATACCATTGAAACATTGAATCTGTGGCTAAACAGGCACGGAGAGGCAGTGGAACACCTGTGTAACAACAGACACGACACACTTAGTCTGGAGGAATGAGCAAGGTGAATATGAATGCTAAAAAATTGAGGCTAGGAAGATGGCTCATGGACGAGACTGACTTCTTGCTGTTGAGTATGAAATGAGATACATGTGGACAGCTTTGTGGGAAGAATCCTTCCAGCTTTCCATGCCCTGAGCGGTCCTGTTCCATTTCATTTACCAAGGCAGAATGGCTGCAAGACTGTCTCCCTCAACTTCTGGGGCTTTTGCGTGGCTGAGTTCACCCCTCATTTTTGTACAGGGTTTAATTTTCCAAACAAACCTGGAGAGTGGCTAGAGCCTTGGATATTTGAAATTTGTCAGGATTCCAGTTTTCCCTTTGTTTTCTCATCTTCTTTCTGAAAATTTTTACTAAATGGAAGGTAATTTTGATTAAATTGGTGCTTGAGTGTTATCATTGAAATGTGATAACTTCTTTTGCAAAAATGGGTCTAATGTCACTTCTATTATTGGGGGAAGGCTACATCCAAATGAAAGCTTTTTCAGCTTTTAAAAATGTACTAGCATGCACATGGTGTAATATGTATCTGCAGGCAAACATACACATAAAATAAAAACATACATTTTTAGAAAATGTTATAACAGCTGGGCATTGTGACATGTGTCTAATCCTAGCCCTAGGGAGGTAGAGTCAGGAAGATTTCTGTGAGTTTGAGGCCAGCCTGGTCTAAAGAGCAAGTTCCAGGATAGCCAGGCTTCTACATAGTGAGCAAGACCCTATATTTAAAAAAATAAAAGTCAACCATTCTTAGTTTGTTGGCTACACAGAGGTCACTGTTTATATTGGCCCCTCTGGGTCCCTTGGTGCTAGATCCTTTTTATAGTTAAATAGCACCAAGTATAGGGAGCTGGCAGGATGGCCCAGTTGGTAAAGTACATGATAAGAAAACATGAAGACCTGAGTTCAACCCCAGCACCATTTAAAAGTCTGGTGTGGTAGTGTATACTTGTCACCCCAGCACTTACAAAGTTATGGTCTCTGAGGTTTGTTGGCTACCTGGCCAGCTAGATCAGTGAGCTCAGGCTCAGTGAAAGACCCTGTCTCAAAAGTGACATGGAGTGTGACTGAGGGAGACACCTGATATCTGCCTCTGGCCTCTACACTCACACATGCAAGCACACACGTATGCATATACACATGCATGCACACACACACACACATACACACACACACACACACAATACTAATAACAGTGCCTTGCATGAGATGGGATCTAGGTTAAACACCTGTAGCACTGACTAATGCTCATGGCATGCACTCTGCTAAATAGTTTCACAAATTTACCAAATTCAATTATCAATCAGTTTCCACTTAATTTGGATTCATTAAACTAATTATTTGAAATCCATTCTAATAGCAGCTTATTCTGAATATTGGATTCAGTTGGCAAGTGGGACGTACTGTTTCATGCCTCTCCCCCATTAAAAACCCGAGATCCCATTTGTTGTTTCCTTTGGCATTTCCTGAGCACCCTCCCTTATTCTCAGGGTCACCAGCTCTTCAGAGGTACCTATCTAGTAGATTCAGGATGGAGATGGGGAGTGAGAATGGGGATAGGCCCTGTTCTCAGTTAGTGGTGTTGGTGGTTGTATTATTTTGGAAGTTGAAAATGTAAAACTCCATGTCCACATACTAGTCTGTCTTGAAGGTTGCTGCAAGGTGCTTATTGTTGGTTGTTTTTACTCCTTGCTCTTTTGGGGGGCCCACCACCTAGCTCCCCCCCAAAAAATCACACACGGAGACTTATTCTTTCTTATAAATGTCCAGCCTTAACTTGGCTTGTTTCTTGCCAGCTTTTCTTAAATTATCCCATCTATCTTTTGCCTCAGGGCTTTTATCTTTCTGTCTTTCTTTACTTCTTTCTCTGTGGCTTGTTGTGTAGCTGGGTAGCTGGGTGGCTGGTCCCTGGAGTCTTCCTCTCCTTCTCTTCTTGTTCCCCCTTTTTCTTCTCTCTGCCTACCAGCCCTGCCTCCTTCCCTTCAATTCCATCATAGTGGGCCGGGCCTGGTAAGTGGGATGACTGTGTCTACAGTCATCATGATGGGGCCAGGCAGGAAAAGTGGGGTGGTTGTGTCTACAGTCACCATGATGGGGCAGGCAGGGAAGATGAGGTGGTTGTGTCTACAGTCATTATGTGACCAGGCATGGCAAGTGAGGTGGCTGTGTCCATGTCATCTTGGTTAGGCAGATAGAGATTTAAAGGCCCACTCTTGGCAATGTACTTCTGTTTTAAGCCCACTCAATGGCAGTGTGAGCATGAGGTGACCGATCTCCATACCTTTGTGGATCAGGAAGAAGAAAGCTCAGGGTGAAACCAGAAGCAGATACTACCTTCAGAACTGGCCCCTAGTGACCTACAGCTGGAGACCAAGCATTCACACACAGTATCTCTAAGCCATAATGGGGAATCTAGCATTCAGTATCTAATTTATTTAACAAAATATTAGATTGACAGCCCAGATTACTTATAAACATGAGTGCATACCAGTTTTCATTAATGGAGACTGTCTTTTGGAAGGAAGGTTTTGTCACACACAGTGATGGGCTGACAGTGAGCTACCTGTAAGAGTATTAAGTCAGGGTGACCCAATGACAGTGCCTATGTCTGATTCTAGCTGCAGAGACAATTGGAGCCTCTGCATAATTCCAGTGCATGGCTCTGGGCAGCCACTTGGATGGATCTGAGGGCTTTCCAAATACAACATGCTGTTATTGTTAGAGCCTTGACCACAGTCCTTTGTTTTCAGCTTTTAAATGAGCAGTTGTGGTTTTCTCTTGGTTGGGGCTGCAGTTGCTTGCACTCACATTGGGTTTTGTCTTGCAGAAGCAAGTGTGAAGGCAAACACTGTGAAGTACATGGAAGTGCTGGAGAGTCAGCTGCACAGGTAAGGAGGTGCTCTGCCCCATAGACTCCGGATTGTATCAGCTTACTCTATTGGAATTCAGTAAGGAAAGGGACAGGGCCAGTCAATCTCTACAGTGAGTTAACAAAGAAAGCAGGAAAACACACTCTGCATCCCCAGAGGAAGGAGCAGGTGCTGTCTCCTAGCCCAGGCTCCCCCTTGACAAAGCAAATAGATTAGAATGTTTAAAGGCATCTTGGCGAGAACACTGGGCAGTTTTCACTTCTCAAAATGAGAAAAGCCTCTTTGGGATCCTGAGTTGAGAATTCATGCTGCGGTTTGCTTTTCCTTTCTGTGTAGCCTCTGAAGGGGTCTTAAGGACTGTGAACTGGTTTATGCCCAGAACAATGTAGGAATGTACATTGTAGGTTCTGTTTTGAATCCCAAATCAAAACCAGCATGAAAATTCCTGGTTGCTTTATTTCTTTCTGTTTTTTTCTTTTTTGTAAAAAACCCAATTAGGAATTCAGATTGGAGAAGCATTAGCGACGCTGCAGCACGTCAAGCTGTTTCTGGTTTTCAGGGATGTCTACTTCTGGAAATAAACCCCAGCCAGCGGGATCTGGTCCTAATTAAGGGAACAAGTTCGACAATGTAGTCTGTGCTTTTCCTCCCTGGCAGCCAGTTTGGTTTTATGGAAACATCTTGCTACTATTTTGGAAATTGTTAAGTGGCTCTGGAATAGATTTGCCTTAAACCTTTGTCTGCTGGGACAGTGTGGAGGCTTCTCCCTTCAGGGTGAAGGGCCAGGCATTCATCCCAGAGTGTGGGGTTAACTTCAGGTTGCAAGCCAAGTCCTTCCACCCACCAACTGACCTTGCCACCCCTAGACCTGGAAGAAGCTGTGGCAGAGCTGGTCAGCAGAGAGTGGCTGACAGGAGTGTACACAGGTGGCTCAGGGACTTGGATCTGAGGCTGGCTTTCCTGCCCTGCCATGTGCTGGGAGGGGCATTCTGACACACCCCTCTCCATCTTATTCCTGCTATTCTCTTTTTCAGGAATGCAAGTCACATGAGCATGTGGCTTAATAGTCGTATTGGGTTCTTGGACAGCACACGGTTGCCCTAGAGCATGGGCATTGACAGATACCTCACCAGCCATGGCTCTGCACTTATGGTGTACCAACCGACAGGAAGAATTAGCTCTCTTTTCCCTATTTGTTTATTCATTCTTCCTGTATCAGGGTTGATATGCTCATGCTGTGGTACACATGGTAACTTGCAGGAATCAGCTCTCTTCTTACATTATGTGGGTTCTGGGTACAATGAACCAGGTCCCTGGGCTTATTGCCAAGTGCCTTTACCTACTGAGCCACCTCACCAGCCCATTTGCAGTGTCTTTTGCCACAGATGGGAGGAAGGTTTCTGTCTTTGTGGATAGGTGTTTATAATTCAGTGGGAGGCGTTCATGTTGGCTCCTTGTACTGCAGTGACCTGTGTCCTATTAGGACCAAGTGTACAGTTGCTCATCCTTCTATGTGTGGCCACCAGCCCTGTCACCTAGTGTGGGTTCAGGCTTCAAGCACACTTGGTTTTGCGTCCCATCAAGTCAGCCTCTTGGGTGCCCCACAGATCTACTTCTGCCTTGCCAGAGGAAGCATCTTTCTCACTGGATGACCATATGACCACCTCTGCTGTGTGTGGCAGCTGCTTCCTGTCTCCAGGCTGGCCCCACCAGCCTGTTCCCTATGTGATCTGGTACATGCTCTTCTAGGGCTCAGCTCATCAGTCCTTTTCAGTGGCATCCCCCTGCCTCCTCCTGCTGTCTTCTCAACATCCAGAGCCACAGCCCTAGTTTGCTGGGAACTCTGTCCAACTCTGGCAGGCCAAGCTCCTGAGAAGGAGCCTGCATCTCATTAAAGGCCAGACTACTGTGCCATGTGCTAAACCTCCAGTTACATTTAGTTTAGGAATCAATGGCCAGTAGCAGTTACCTCTTGAAACTTGATCTCTTACTTGCTTATTTTTATTTTATGTGTACTGGTGTTTTTGCCTGTATCTATGTCTGTGCATCACGTGTGTACAATGTCCACAGAGGCCAGGAGAGGGCATTGTATTCTCTGGGACTGGAGTTTATAGATGGTTGTGAGCTGCAGTGTAGGTATTGGGAATTAAACCTGGGTCCTCTGAAGACCATCCAGTGCTCTTAACCAACTCTCCAGCCCCTGGAACTTTATTCTTAGTTGTTAAGACTAAAAGTCAAAGCATCCTAGGAAAGTATAATGTCCAAACCCATTTGCCTTGGCATCCAGTCTCTGTGACTCACAGTAGAATATTAAAAAACAAAACAAAGCCACTCTGAGGAGCCTTACCCACTTACTGTTCCCCTCCAGGCTGTTTCAGAGGTGACAGCTAAGTGGGATGTGTTGATTTAGCTCTTCCCCTCAGGGCTGAATTCTGCTTTAATTCCCATCATCTCAATTATCACATATTCTCTGTTAGCTTTCCTACTGAGTCAAAGGAAATATTTTTTAAAATCCTTACTTTTGTCTGTGGTTTTTTGAGACAATCTCTTTCTGTAGCCTAGGGTTGTCTTGAACTCAGGATCCTCTCACTTCAGGTCCTGGGGGGGGGGCTGAGACTAAAGGTGTTTACCACAAATTTTCTTGGCTACAGGTTTTTACTTTGGGGCTAGAGAGATAGCTCAATTGGTAAAGTGTTTGCTTTGAAGCCATGAGGAGTTGTGTTTGATCCCTATTGACAAACCAGATATGGTGATGCGCACTTGCAATTTCAGCACTAGGGAGATAGAGACAGGTGAATCCAGCAGTCTTGGACTAACTGGTGAGTTCTAGTCAGTGAGAGATGCCCCCCACTTCTCTCTCTCTCTCTCTCTCTCTCTCTCTCTCTCTCTCTCTGTCTCTCTCTCTCCCTCTCCTCCCCCCACTGTAAAAAAACGATGGGTAATATCCAATGATTGACCCAGAAGTTCTCTCTATCTTTCTTTTGCTCGCCTTTCCCCAGCCCTCCATCTATCCTTCTCCCTCCCTCTTCCTCCTTTCCCCCTCTCTTTTGTAGATGAAGTACATTTATTATAACAATCTCATATCTTATGTAACCACTGTGGAGGAGAAATCTTTTTGACCAATGAAAAATTGGTACCTCTGGTTGTCAAGGGCCAATTCTCACCTGCCCCCACCCCAGATGTGCACACTGGCTTTCTATACACCTATGGAGTCCATTGTATGCATAGTTAGGGGGAACATTCTTTGCCTTTCTAGACCGTCTTGGCTCTCTCTGCTTTGTTTTCCTGGAGTTGGATCTGAAACCTTTGCTACAAACCATTAATGCACTTGTGAAGCTGCTGGTTTATTTTTGTGTCCTTGCACACTACTTCATTTCTCAAGTGTTTACTTGAGAGTGAGTCAGACTTTCAGAAAAGATACTGGCATCTTCTCTGGTCACAAGGGTACTCAGAAACTCCTTGTGTGCCTCTGGCTCGTGTTAGGGACACACGGGAACTCAGTCATCTTATCTGAGATTTATTTTGAAATTAAGAGCTTGATACCTTTTCTTCCTAAAGGAGAGCTGGCTCTTAAAAACAAAACAAAACAAAACAACAACAACAAAAACCCCTAATGTTTACCTACTAATTATCTGGAAATTTCTACATGAATGTCCTCACAGGCAATAGTAGCCAGGTAGGTTACTCAGCTAACAAATCTAGGAGGGTTCAGTAGAGGGGATCAGGGCTGGAGAAAGCCATGGAGTGTCTACCAGGGCTCCAGGATACATTCTCAGCCTGTTCACAACAGTTTGGCCCCAGTGCTGAGAGCCAGAAAAATGGGAACCATGGCCTGTACCCAGCAGTGTCCTGAGTCTCACATGGTACTCAGGGAAAGACCTGGTTGTACCCCACAAGGCCCCCAGAATCTGTCACTCTCTGCCACAAGCTGGTAGGTCACATGCTCTCTGACAGTAACTGAAGCAGTTGTTTCCAGAGGAGCAGGGAGAAGGTTCTAGAATTGATGGGGAATGTCCTTTTGTATACATGCAAGCCAAGACCATGTGGAAATACATAGATTTATGGAAATGGGCTAATAATAAAGACAGAGCTAGCCAATAAATAGCCCTAACTATTGGCCAATTTAATAACTAGCATAGCATCTCTGTGTGTTTATTTGGGGCTTAAGCGGCAGGACCCAGACAAGGAACACCCACAACATAGAATTCCTATCTTGTGCTTCCATTTTACTGGTTAAGATTTTATATCTATTAGTATCACATACATATGGCAGCACATGCATACCACATATGCAATGAATCCCGGAGGGCATGTTCAAATGATATGACTCGGTGGACACATGATAAGAAACAAGAGACATGTGGAAGATATGTCAGCAAAGGAACTCCCCATTCCCGCACTGCTTTGTCTTCACATCAGGAAGGAAGAGCAGGAGTTGGTCTTGGAAAAGCAAAGTGGGCAGTGTGTGCTCCATCCCAGCATGCAGCTGCCAGCGGTTCCAGCTGTTCTGACTGATCCCACTATCTACCTCCTCACAGGAGTTTGGCATTGTGGTGTGAAGTCCTCTGGGGTCCCTCAGATGGGTTCTTTATTCCAAACCATGCAAGGTCCTTGGCACCTGGAAGAATCGGTTTCAACCCACATTGAGTGTATTCCTAGTACTGTGGATGGAAATGAATGTAAATCTAGCAGCAGGGAAATACAGAGCTGGCTGCCCCAGGAGCCTGCTGCCCCACACAAAGGAGAGCAATGCAGGTGTGTGGATGCCTGACAGCCTCAGATGGAGGGAGGTTCAGTTTTCTTTCCTGATAGGTGTCTACCTTCACCCTGAACGGAGCTCTTTGTTCAGCTGTGACTCTGCTGGGCAGGAGCAGGACTTAGGGCACAGGGGCTGGAAGAGGCAGTGCTCTTTAGATCTCTAACTTGGCCAAAGTTTGTCTTTCCTTCAGGTACTGTTGACCCTCCTTCATGTGGCTCCTTCTGCCTGTCCTGTCACCTGTCCACCCCTCCTTAGCCTC